TTTATTTTTATAAATAAAATATAATTAATTATATATATTTACATTCCATTAAAAAATTGTCCCCTCTATGCCATTTGACGTCTCCACTAATTTCAAGGTGTTTATTTGTTGCTTTTCTCGGTGTAGCAGCGACAATCTTACTGCACACTACGCATATTATTGGGGGCAGGCCCCTTTTGGGATATTGATTCGGCAGGTTTAATTTAATAAAGTCCCCATACCATCTGTTTCCCCTTTTCTCTCTCTTCTCTCTTGTTTTTGCCTCTCTTCTCCGACCCTGCGTTTGTTTTGCTCGAAAGCCTTTGAGATTCTGAGGTTTTGATGCTTGAGCCGCTGGATTCCCCAGCCGCTCAAGCATGCTGGAGCTGACCTATGCTCCCTCCTCCGATGACCATTTAAGGTCTGTCGGTTTCTAAGTCCCTTTTCGGTGACCCCTTTTGGTTTTTCTGTTTTCTAGTTGTTTGTATTATTTTGTGTTCTTGTACAGTTTGTTTTTACAATTCCGTGACCCTCGACTCTTTCCTGTTGATTTAGGTAGGGGCTCGTTGGTTTTCCAGATCTGGCCACCGCCAGTTTGGATTCTTGCCATGGCGTCTTGGAGATTTCGCGCCATTCTCTCCTGAGTAGATTGAAGGGTGTCCCATAGCTGGATCAGTCGACCACAGGTTGCTCGAGTGTCTTCACCTCCCTTCCTCCTCTGCATCGGGTCTACTCTGCCTTGTTTCTCCAGTGTGTTCTTTCTTTGTCGGATACCCTTATCCCTTTGGATAAGACCTTGATGTAGATGCCGTATGGCAATTCTTACTGCATTACTTCCCTTGCGTTCAAAAAAAAAAAAAAAGTCCCCAAAGAAACTTCTCTACACAAAAAGAAAAGTGGAAGAGAATTTTCCTCAAAGGAAAACTGAAAGGGGCAAAAGAATTGGTTGGGAGAATGTGTTAAAATAAAAAATATTGATTTATATAAAATGGTTTAGTATATTATACAACATATTGCCAACCGGACCTGTAATCCAATTGGTTGGCCCCCAAGCTTTAGGGTTTGGGTGAGGCGGAGGTCAGGGTTTCGAGCTCTGCCACCGCCGTGAACTCCATCAACTTGCGACTTTATGGTCGCGCGCCTCAAATGAGGGGGTGGAAGGTTCACTTTCCTGGAAAAATTTCAGCTGTTAATAAACTAACTCTACTAACTTTCTAACCATATACATTGTCAAAAAATATATATATATACAACATATTTATTAAAAATTATTATTTTTTAATTAAAAATTAAAAATAAATAAATTTAAAAATATAATTATATATTTATGATATATAAATTAATTTAATCGATTATATTTACATTATATTTTTAATAATTGAATTAAATAAATAAAAAAATATTAAATTACATATATACAAATCATTTTCTTAAAATAATAGATAGCAAAAGTAGTAAAGTACTTGCAAATCTCATACTTATGGATCAATACCATTTATATTAGGTTCCTACAGCCATTTCCTTTTGAACTCGTAGGATAGATGACCGCCCTTTATATGGGTTCTGCATCACTATAGTTTTCTTAACAGTGAAGGATTGGTATTGGGAATTTAATATCTCATATATCATCCTAAATAGTAGTTCTGGTAATTATCCATTGAGGAGGAAAAAGACTTAATCCAATTGGAATGTTGGATTTAAATCTAGAGTTTTAGAATGATTCACTAGATGAAGTAACATTTATTTATTTGATATTATATTTTTTATTGTAAAATTTATATTAAAAAATGTAATATAATTTATATTATATTAAATTATATTATACTAATTATTAGATGAAGAATAAATTTCTTAATATTAAAAATATTTCTTTACCTAATAATTTTTATTTTACAAACAGATATAATTTAAATTGTAAAATAAAAATTTTAATTTAGATTATAAAAATTATAAAAATATAATGTCATTTAATATAATAAATTATAATAATAACATGTTGTTGTAAATAATTATTTAAATAAAAAATTATTTATAATAACACATCTTAATCATATCTTAATTATAAAATTATAATTTTATGTTATATTGCGATGTAAAAAGATTAAAACAGTAAATTTGTAGATTGTAGTAGGTAGGTGGCACCAATCAATCGAGTTAGGCAAGTTGTTTTTGGCTGATCAATTGAGGCAAGTTGGAATGATAAAACAGCTGGATCCAAATTCAAATGGCTCTTCAATCAAGGTAATTTTTAGCCATGAGTGTGAATACTGAATACTTTTAGCTTTATATATGTTATGGAATTAATGCAGCCATATATGGGAAAAATATAGCCGTCTAAGTTCAAGATGAAAATAATGGAGCATCCAAAATCAAAACAATTTTAAAGTTCAGGCATATATGCCATAAAAATGAAAGATGCTTGGAAGCTTCCCTTCACATATAAATATTGTGTAATAACAATTTAGTGGTTATCATCACCGAAAGGGAGAGACATGTTGCAAGGAATCTAATGTGAACAATGGAGCTTCAATTCCAAAGCAATTAAAAAAAATTCACTCTAAATGGGAAAAAAGTGTTAGGTGGGAATCTATCTCAGAATGAGCAAATACTTATTACAAGTTGGGGGAAAAAAAGTACTATTTTGTGAACGGATCGATCGAAAGAGAAGTCTTATATGCTCATCACATCTACAGTAAATTAATGCTAGGCACACATTGTGGGTGAAATTAATCAATTCGCAATACCCTCTTTATTGACAACGAATTGCTGCTGTATAAGGCCTTGGATACTTTTCTTCCAGCTGTCTCAAACTATGTACATATACAGGTCAGGGCGGCAGGCCATGGTCTTTTTGAACTGACTAATGACTATGGGGATCAAGCAGGGGCCCCTTTTTCTATGGCATAAAGGGATCTTGTATGGTAATGGGGTTTGGAAGTAAATATGCAATTAAGCTCCATGTATGCCTTCACATCCTATGACCAAATTTTGTTCTATACCTAATTTTTTTCAGTAATGCATATTTTAAGTTGTATCAAATTATAAATGTTAAATGAGTAAATTATCTTTTAAAGTTATTATGTTGAAATAAATTTTAAAAGTATTAATTTAATTTATTACCTTAAATTTTTATTTTTAAGAAATTTATATGAATTTAATGATTATCACTAAATTCTATTAAATTATTATTTTTGAAATTTAATAAAAAAATTAACCATAACCATTAAATTTAAGTTGAATTTTTAAAAATAAAAATTTAGATAATAAATTATATCAATATTTTTTTTATGATAATTTATTTCAATGTAACAACTTCATGGGAGAATCTATACCCTTTGCCAACGGTAAAATCTAAACTTTTAAATTAATGCAAGTTTCACTATTCAGAGGCCATGACATCGGAGTAAATTCTAAAGTTTAAATGCCTATAAATTTCTAGAACACCAAGCAATGCTTAAACATTAAATTGTTAATAATAACTTCAGCTGGAAGGTCTTAAAAGAAGGGAAAATCAGCCATAAAACATACAGGATACAGCCGATGCTGAATTTGCACCGCGTGGATTAGCCAGCAGGTTTTGGCATTTCCTCCTAATGTAGTTTGTTCTCCCTTGCCATACCATTTCCGCGTAAATTGGTCTTACCTATGCCCCATACCCATAATAATCCATAATAGAAGACAACAACAAGACACTCCCCTCGTTTCAAGCATTAATAACATTGTCCTTTTTCATTGGTTTTTGCATTTATCATTATCGCTATTCCAATCAAATTAAGATCTCATATTATCAAATTTTAGAATAAAAGGAATCCAATTAAATCAGTCAGTTAGTTTTCATTAATTTTAAGACTTTAATTTTGAAGTAAAAATAAAAAGTTTAAATTAGTTCATTTCTATTGATAAAAGAATTTTTTAATTTGTATTTTAAATATACATGTTAAATCTCATTTATTATAATATTTATAATTAATTTTATATAAATTTTTATATAAAATTCAAATAAAATATAATATAATATAATATTTTACAAAATTTTATAAAAAAATTATGAATCTAATATAAAAATTTATATAAAATTAATTAAAAATATTTTAATTAATAAGTCTTAACATATACTCTTAATATACAGGTTAGATAAATTTTTAATAAAAAAAAATTTGCAAATTATCGATGGACATCAAATTTAAGTAAGAACAATTTACGTAACAATTGAAGTAAACCAACAATTAAGGTGTTCACAAATCAATTTTTATGCATCTAAATATATTACATTTAAAAAAATTAATGAATTTTCTTAAATGTTAACTTCAAAACATAAATAATGAAACTAATTTATAAAATAACATTTATTTATCTCTAACTATACCAACTTGATTTGGGTTCCTTATGCCTTTTTAATTAAGAAAAAGGGTAAAAAGATTGAGAAAAAAATGGAAATAAAAAGGAATACAAAAATATTTCAATATTTCATCTACCCAAATAGGGGTAAAATTAGAACACAACCCTCATGTGGGCAAATGCAATAACGTAAATGTTAAGCAATCTAAAGCTAATCACATCCACCACCAAAAAAAAAAAATTGTAAGCAATCTAAAGCTAATCACATCCACCATCACCACCACCACCGCCACCAAATACCGCCTACCTTCTCCACATTTAATCATTACAATATTTGCACTTTGTACCCCTCCTCATTCGGGAAATACCCTTTTCATTCCGGTATTGCATTCAACATGGCCTTGAATTTTCTCGGCTTCCCTCTTCTCCCAGTACCACCGGCGGTGGTCTTCTTCCGGCGAGGCTCTTCGGATGAGAACATCAGAGGAGACACCGTTTTCTGGCGACACCCACATTTTTCATTACTCTTCATCAGAGCGGAGCTCGCTTTCACCGCCAATGCCGCCATTTCTTCCGCTTTCAACGGGTGTTTAAGCCAACTCAATGGCAACGCAAAATAAAGCTGACCCGGTTGCAGCTCCTCGTCGTCGCTAAGGGCGGAAACAACATCGTCAAAGTCCATTTCATCCGAGTTGCAGATAAAACACATGGGATTCTTCTGCAACACATAAGAAACCTTAACAGGGTACGGATATTCCTGCAACCTCCCATCCTGTAGAATCAGCTTCGCCGTCGCTACGTGCGTTGAATCACAAGAACTACAAATACCCATCTCCGCCGCCGTCTACGGTGGTTATTTCCGAGAGTCAAAAGCTCAAAACCAAATCAAATCTTGAAAGAAAAGAGTGGAATTTGTTGGGCAAGAGAGTAACAACTAACAAGGGAAATGAAGTATAAATAGAAGGAGAGAAATCAGAAAAAGCCTCTTCAATTTGGACTATGTTGCCACGTTGGCTTTTTATAAAAGCCAAGAATAAATTTTTTATATAATTTTAATGTATTATAAGAATTTTATTAATGTATTTAGATATTTAAAATTATTTAATTAAATAAAAATTTTAACTTTACATTATCTTGGGGGCAGGCAAGCCAGGTTGTGAGCAGGTGGTGACAGGTTGGCATTGTGCTATTACTAGTGTGAATTCAATGGGAAAAAAAAGCCCTCGATAAATCGATTCAAGCGATACAAGGACAACAAGGACATGGAATTTTTATCTTTTACATATACGTCCAAAATAGGGGTCCTCTAGTGATGTGGTTACCCTTTGATTGGATTGGATGAAAATTTTGAAAATGGTCCTGGCCGTTTATACTCAATTGGCCAAGTTGAAAGCAGGCACTGAAAAAGGGTTTCACGAGAAGAGCACACTGCATGGAAGGGTTCTAATGTGGACTTTTACCTAACACCCACTTCACTTGAATGGTTCCTTTCCCATTTATGGCTAAGTGCTTGACTTTGGGTCTTTGGTGAAACACTTCTAAGTCTACATGCATGCTTTGTGTGTTGGCCAAAAAGTAGCTTGTATGCTTTGTGACATATAATGTGAGATGAATTTGGTCATCTACTCTTAAAAAGAGAGCTTTTAGTTTATGGTTATGTGATCTAGTGTAGTTCAAAAGTATTGTTTAAGTAGAATTTTTTTGCAAAAATACTAAAATTAATTATAAATTCATATAAATGATCATAAAATGATTTTTAAAATTAACAAAATTGTTAAATTAAAAAATTTAAGGAATTGAGGAAAATTATAACATATGCTTAAAGTATTAAGAACAATAATGAACAAACTAATATATTATTGATGAATCAATACATAAAAAAATTTATTAAAAGTATTCAAATAATTTTATTAAAAATATTGATATTTAAAATGTTAGAACATTCACTTCAACTCTTTTTTAAAATTTAATACTAAAAAAGAAAAAAAACTTCATAAGCTACATATTTGATGGTTTAACTTCCAAACTTTAATTTTAGAAGTTAAAATTTTCTTTAAAGGTAAAAGAAAAAAGAGAGGCAATTTGTGATGGAGGTGTAATTGTGAACATTGGACAAGAGGCAATTTGAGGAGGGGAAAGGGAGCAAGAGGGAAACGTGGCAATGGTAGCAGAGTGCCATGGAAGCAAAGGGAGTGCGACTGTGGAGGGGGAGGAAGGAAGACACGTAGAAAAGCCTTGGGAAAGTAAACCCAACAACCCGACAGGGAATGGCGCAACCTGATCTGCGCGTGCCTGGGTTCGACCCCTCCCTCGGATCCTGCTGCCCCCATTGTTTATTTGCGCAGCAGAAATCCAGCCGCTTTCTCCTGTGGTCTGTGGCCAGTGGCTTATTATTCCCCATCACTTGTGCGCTATTATATAACTTTATTTTATTAATGTTGTGGGAAGTGTTGACAATGGCAGCACTTTTCCTTTACTTTAGGCTGCAGCAGGTTAACATGTGGATGAGTAAGGGATGCTACATGAGAGAATGTTCGTATTCAGGTTCTCCTCCCTGGATTAATACCACCTGATCAAATCTGTGGTTTCTGTGTCCATGGTTCTAATTAACTTAACCTGTGATTTTATTCATAAACACCATAACATAGACACAGTCCATGTTACTATTGGGATTCATTGATTTTTTTCATATGACTTCAGACTGTAAAATTAAAGAAATTAAGACGAGGAACTCGTCCTTACATTTACAAGGCATGACACTTTTTCTTTTAATTGAAGTTAAACACAATGCATGACACTTTTAAGAGACTGATATAAACAAAGTAATTCTTTTTATAAATTTTTTAATGTTATTATAAATTATTTGTCTTTTATTAAAAAATAACTTCATAATTATAAAATCATTAATACCATTAAAAAATTATAAAATCATTAATACCATTAAAAAATTATAAAATCATTAATGGAAGGTAAACTCTAGATAGAAGTTGGAGTGGGACATGCATTGCACAAATAATTGAGGAGACAATCCTCACCAATACATGCACAGTCATGTTGTATTTTCAATCCAAGAACATATGAGGAAGTATATAAACAACTAAATGTATCTTGCTTCAACATTTTTTCTTTGTTAAACCCAAGGTCTTATTCTAATTGAACAAATAATTGAGGATTAAAGATGTCCAATCCCCAAGCATTTCCATGAAGCTTCGTAATCTCTTTTAGTCCCCACCATATCTACCACACCGAAGATTGCTCGTGCTAGTATTTAGTAGCAGTAGCAATCAATCATGGATCCTTCCCCTTGATGACCACACCACACGAATGCCTATCCCCTTTTTTCTTAAAAAAATTAAACTATCTGGTCGATTAATTCCTCCTTTTTATTATTTAGATTCCTTATTGACTTCCAATGAAGCGTCCCCATCCAGCCATCCCGCTTGTTCTTTATTTTTTAATGTTATCTCAAGAGTCCTTATTATTTACTTTATTAATTAAGATTTAGTGTTAGGAGAGATCACACAAATATAATTTTTTATTTCAATTTCGATAGTTTCAAGTTCAAGTTGTTTACTCTAATTAAAAAAAATATTATGTAATTTAAATTATATAATATTAATTATTAAACAAAAATTAAACTTTTAATATTAAAGTTATTTTTATTTTACAATTTAATATAATCTAAATAGTAAAACAAAGTTTCTTAATCAACTTAACGATACCCTTAACATATAAAAATGAAAAACGTCCATTGTTGGTTGCATTTCGAAATTGCTCCTATTCCTAGACATAACCAAAAAACTTAGAGGTCAATAAAGGATTAATTCTAAATTCTTATCTGTCAATTTCTGACTTGGTTGACCAGTCGACCCTATAAGGCTTGATTGCTAATCCGATCGTTTCAGGCTGGAATTTTCTTCAGAATTCAGACTTCAGAGTCTCAGACACATACATTACAACATTATTCATATGATAATTATAATAATTAATCAACAAGGATTTGAGCCTCAATGACATGTTTTGTCTTAATCTTAGATTACAAGCAAAACTGGTTGTTGTTCCATTAGATTACAAGCAAAACTGATTAGCAAACAACTACTTAAAATTATGTATACAGGTTCAACATAAAAGTTGCATTCAATTTAAAATTAATTAATATAGATGGAGTAAACTTTTTGTATTTAATCAAAATATTTTTTTATTATACACTCAATATGATATTTTTTCACTCAACACAGAAAACCACCTTCATATTTCCTGTAGGATCTTCGGCTCAATCATGGGATCACTGCAGAAAAGGTTGCCATTGTCATTACCATGAAACTTTCTCTCAGGCGCCTTCATGAAATTCTAACGTTGAACCTTTTTCTAATGATGTTGTCATGGCCATCTTGTAGGGTCAACTAAATCTCAAAAGGTCCCCTGTCCCTTGTTTTATAGGATTGATTCAGTTTTGGGGAAGATAGATGGATTCATGAATTTGTTTGATATCTTGTCTAATCAAAATGAGTTCAAATTCAAGCAACCATTAATTAGTTGGCAATGTAGATATATGATAAGTAAGCCTCAGCACTGTGGGTCACACAATCGAGGAACGTCAAATGACTAATGGTCCAGTGATGGTACCTCCTCCTAATGGTAAAAGGTTCCAGATCAATCCTGCTTGCAGTTTTAATGGAATCAATGATTGTCTGCTATTATGTAATCCGAAAATTGAATTATGTAAGAAGAAAAAAAAATTGAATTTGAATTGTACCATTATCCAAATGAAAGATAATTCTTTTTAAGAATCAGAAGAGAGAAAAATTTAAATGTACTCCATTCAACTGTAATATTACATATCAATGTGAAACTAACTAATTATAAAATCCAAAAAAAAAAAAAAGAATTTGGTTAAATTAGTACTTAGTAACTTAAAATCTTTAATTTAATTTGGATAAAAAAAATAAAGATTTAAACCTTACAATGTCAAATAGTTAACTTTCAATGAACTAAAGAAAAAAGGAAGAAGAAGAAGATGTCTTAAAAGAAGGGAGATCTACTAGGGTGATTTTCTTTCCTGGTTCTTTTCCTGAAACTCTTCTTATGGTTGATTTCATACTCATCAATTTCATCATCTCTGATTTCATTCGTGTCCATTTCATCATCTTTGATTTCATCATTAGGGTCGGTTTCATCTATCTGCTCTGGTGATGGTGAACGCTTCTTTCCATGAACACATTGGAACTGCAAATATATTTTGTCATGAACACATGTTAGCATGAGTCTATGAAGAATCCTTAATCCTACATTAATCCTTTTTTAAAGAAAATTAGAGTTACTAACCTTGCATTCAATTGAACAGAACATGGAATCTGGTTCTTCTCTCTTCGACAGTAGTTCAAATCCACATATTATACAGAACTTACGGCCGCCTTTAAAACAACCTCCTAATCTTACCTTATCTTTATTGCGTCGTCTTTGATAGATGTAAACAATCCAACTCTTATTAATTTTGTAGGGATGAATAAGTGTTATGTCTAATATCTTCTTGATGTCTTTAATTCTGACCCCATCTTGCCTTGAAGATTGGAAAACCTGAACAATCATAACCTGGTTAAATTAATAAATTTCTAAAGTTAAACATTTAAAAAAAAACTGTTGTATAATTTGAATTGTTATTTTTAATTGCACAACTGTGACAATTGAATTAGGGACCGATTTTATATTAATAGTCTTCCCCATTCAATCATAACTATTTTATAATTTAATAAAGTTTGGACTATAAAATATGGACTCCAAACATTTATATAAACAATCAATAAGATATATGTATTGGTATAATGATTAAGGATAATGCTGAGTTCGAATTCCCACAAAAATCACTGATAAAAACAACTTTTGTTCAAAACAAGGGTTATGCATGGAATACAAGAATAGCAATTGAGTGAGGCATAAGTGGACTGATTAAGGAAAATGTGAAAGCCCTGAACTTAGATTAAAAAAGCGGAGTTCAAGAACTTACTCGGATTACTTCGTGATCACGCCGATGCTCATTGAATTTGACACAGTCCTCACAGATTAAGAGACCCGGACAACTTAAGCAAAAGTGGTTGAGTCTTATGCCATGCTTCTGGCACAAGTATGTCTTGAAACTGGATTTCAACAATTGCACTACCCAGGGTTGGTCAAGGGACTGCCGCTCCCTCATAATGGGATGATAATGGTTGGGAATTATTCTCTTGGGTCTCATAATGGGATGATGATGGTTTGGAAGTATTCTTTTGGGTTTCAAACATGCCATTGTTTGTTAGGGTTTATACTGAACTTCTAGTCAGATTGGGAGACGGGAAGCGAGAATGGATGAACAATACACATAGGCGGTCTATAACTACGATATATATGCTAAGTCTTTGTTATCAAGTAAAAGAGGTTGGCTATTTACCTACTTCTTTCCTCTCCGGTTATCTTGAAATCCAAGTTAGAAAAAAAAAAAGGGAAAAAAAAAAGTCTAACTCTTTTTTTCTCATAAATAATGGGCAGAAGGGGGTGTTTGTCTTTTATTTCAAAGAAAATTTCTTGATACAACAAAAGAAATAAAAAATATGGTTTCTAGAGCTCTTCCAAATCAAAAAGTTCACCAGAATAATTATATAAATAGTGAATTGGCTTCATATGATCTGTTAATTGATTCAGCGTAGAGTATACACTGCTACAACTTGGATGTCTTTCATCAGCAACCATAAATTCATTAACACGACCCTCAATTTCGGTGAAGCTAATTGCCTTACTCTTTATGATTCTGCGGTCATTCATTAGCTTCCTGATGTTTTTGACATCTTCCCATCTTTGTGCTTCGCAAAATAAATTTGAGAGAAGCACATAAAGCCCTGCATTGTGTGGCTCCAGTTCCAAAATCTGTTTTAGAACCTGTCTTGCTATATTTACATTACCATGCATCCTGCAAGCACCAAGCAATGCACCCCAAACAACCACATCAGGCTTCATCGGCATTCCTTCTATCAACCTGACTGCTTCTTCTAACAGCCCCCCACGTCCTAGCAGATCAACTATGCAAGCATAGTGTTCAATTTCACATGGAATCCTGTAAGCAGTAGTCATTTTGTCAAAGTAATAGCGCCCCTGGTCTACCAGACCACTATGACTGCACGCAGATAGCAGTCCCGTGAAGGTGATGCCATCAGGCGAGATCCCATGTGCAAGCATCTCTTCAAAGACATTGATTGCTTCTAGTCCACGGCCATGAAGTGCAAGGGCTCCAATAACCACATTCCAGGAGACTAAATTCTTTTCAGGCATCATGTTGAATATATCCACAACACTTTCCAAGGCACCACATTTTGCATACATGTCTATAATGGAGTTATATAGAGTGACACTTGGTATAATATCATTACTGCATATGTAATTGTGGGTTTTCTTTCCCATGACCATATCACCAATTTGACTGCAGGCAGAAAGAACAGAAACCAGAGTAGCCTCATCAGGCAGCACCCCTGAATCACACATATTTTGAAAAAGAGCCAGAGCTTCCCTACACTGACCTTCTCGAACATAACATGAAATCATAGAATTCCAAGAGACTAAATTTTTCTCAGGCATCTGACTGAAAATCTGCTGAGCAAGTTCAAGGAGCCCGCATTTAGCATATGCACCAAGCAATGTAGTCCATGAAACCACATTTTTATCAGCCATACGATCAAAAACCCTTTGAGCCAAATTCAACAGCCCAGACTTGGCATACAAATCCAACAGAGCATTTCTCAATATTAAATCAATTTCAACCCCTGTAATCACTATATAAAGATGCACATACCTTCCCATATCTAATTCACAATTCTTTGAGCAAGCAGAAAGTAAGTTAACTAAAGTAATCACATCAGGTTCCACCCCCAATTTTCTCATCTCCTTAAACAACAAAAACGCTTCTTTGCAACATCCAAGTCTAGTATACCCACCGATAATGGAATTCCACGAAATCCGACTCCTCTCGAGCATATCATCAAACAGCTGTCGGGCACTATGAATCAATCCACAGACAACGTAACAACTAATAAGCGCATTCTGCACGCACACTACAGACCCAATCCCCAACTTGATAACCTGCCCATGAACAAGCACCAATACCCAATATACCGATTTGCTCGAACAAGCCTTAAGAACAAAAGGAAGAGTGAATTCATTAGGGGAAAGACCCGAACCCACCATTTGATGGTAAAAGGAAATAGCTTTTTCCGGGTTATCACTAGTTACATAGCCCCGGATCAAACTATTGTACATATATTTATTGGGCTCGCGTATTCGATCAAACACGAGCTGCGCATAACCTAAATTGCCAGTATCAGCAACAGCACAAAAGGAGATGAGTTTACCAAGAGTGAGATTTTCATTGGTGAGGCCATGAACTATGATTTGGGCATGGATTTGTTTCAGTTGATTCATCGACGAGCATATCTGTAGGAGATGATGGAGATATTGATGACTTGTGGAGATGAATCGATCTTTTGAAGGGAGAGTGCAAAGTTGAGAGCAGAAATGAAACAAGGAATTAAGGCGGTAACCAACGGTCAAATGTTTGAAAGGACACAGCATCCTAGTTGGGCATTAGGTCTCCAGGCGGCAGTTGTCAATTTGGAATGTTTAAAGGAGAGAGCAAAAAATAAACAATATTATAACGGTAAGGTAATTTTTACATTTTAAATAGTTAACATTATATTTTTTTAATGTAATTATCTATTATATTTTTTTCTAACATATTATCTATTATATTTTTACATTATATTTTTTAAAAATTTTATATTTTTTGTTTTTTAATAAATTAAAGAGTATAATAATCAATTAAAATAAAAAAAATATATAACATTAATAATTGAAAGTGTAACAATAACATTACTCAAAGTGAAATTATAATTTTAATTATTATATGTCATTTAATAAATATAATCTATTATTAAATAGATGAATATATACCATATCAAAGGTATTATCATTAAAAAAAGAAAAAAACACATAAAGTAAACCTCAACTTACATCATATTGGCAATTAAGTCGTCTAAATTCAATACTTATCAAATTAGCCGTCAACCATGATGAGAATATTCTGATAAATAGCGTACCTTTTTTTTAGACCAGTCAAAATAAGTTGGTAGTACTAATTAATCAAAATGATGTAAATCCAATTTATTTGTTGAGAATTATTTTGTTTATAAATGTAAAGTATGTAACATACAGTCTCACTGTACAATTTCAAATGTGGGCAACCAAGAATTTCAAAAGATTTGACTATTTATTCTTTTGTGCAAGAAATGGCTAAGGAGGACATATAGACATTATAAAGAAGGAAGGAGCCAAAGATTGAAGAGAACAGAAGAAAATGATAAGAACCAAGACAAGAAAGCCATGGCCGCGGACAGCTCAAATCTACTACATATTGGGACCGGGCAGTACAACGGGCCAGCTTCATGGAGTATGCTGGTTACGCTAGCTGTTGAGCTGGCTGCAGCGAGCGAGAGAAATGACAAAACCTGTAATCAAATATAAAAGAATTCATTTTCTATGATATTATGAAAGAACAAAAATGTCATAGTGATGTTAATGACATAGTGAAACATACAAAGTCCCCCATTACGATGATTGATACTACTCTTTGTTGCCGTGTTAAACACCGTATAAAGACGGAATAAGCATCCACCAATGCTAATAAGAAACTCCATGGAGCTACTAAACCCATGACCGTCACCAAGTAGCTGCAAAAGCATACATAAAAGAAAATAAACCAATTTAAGACCTAAAAACTTGTTAGCCATGTGCAGGCTGCATATTCAAGCTCAAACACATCAACATTTTGGTATATCACGTTGAGAAGGAAATAAAAATGGTAAGGCAATCCTTGGAAAAGATGAAATAGCAGGAATATTATTAACCACGTCACTCTTGTTCTAGTTTCCTCAGACCACATATGCTACAAAAATGAAAGTCAAGAAGACAAAAAGAAAGCACACCAATAGTCATTTAGCAGGAACAAAGTATTAATTATGAATCTGCAATGAAAATTTGATACAATTTTTAAATCTCAATAGAAAAACTAATCAAACCAAACCGTCTCAGGAAACTCAAAATGAATTTCGACAACTGTCTGGAATTCATGGTTACATTCAAACCTTCTTAATGATCCATAAAAGCTGTGATGTGGAATGCTGTGGAAAAGCAAGTTTAGTGGCTATGTAGCATGTCAAAAAATCATCTAATTTTGTTGTTCTAACGCAAAAGTTGCTAAACCACTCAGAATCTACCCACCCAAGAATTAGGTCTGTTGAGGGTCTCAATATTTTAAACCCTAAAAAAGGCACTTCAACATCTTCATCTTCCCCAGTTCTATCTAGTGCATAATGTGTACATTTCACCCCAACTTAGTATAACATCCTCTCTTCAAGATTTCATATGCTCTATCCAGCCAGGTAACCTTTTCCAGCCATGTGATCAAGATTACCTGCTAATTTTAATCTTCAGCAAATTTGATAGAATCCAGTCATTTCTTCAGCTACATTACCTAAGCATAAAAGGGTTACTACTTCCCAAAACAAACAAATGAATCTATTCTTCCACATTCCTTGGCTGCTTCACAATCTTCTTTGCAGCCCCCCTCCCCACCAACAAGGCCCCAATATGTACATGCACATGCAGACAAGAATAAGAAACATTTATGTTTAAGCATGGTTCACCCTTGAGAGTTGATTTTTGTCTCTAATCATTTAGAAGTACTTTTTACCTGCAATTGCCTAGATGTAGTATATCTCCTTGTATTTAGAATAAAACACAAACTCTTATGAAAGGATCAAAACTTGACACCTTATGAAAAATATAGTACTTCCCATCTTTCAATTACTTAATTAATCTCTTAAAATTTTGAATGTTCTCTGGTCCTCTATTTAACGTGGTTAAAGGTTTCAAGCACCTGACCAAAAGCAATGCCTAAATCACCATTGCTTGGAAGAAATTTCTCAAATCTCAAGACAAGAATTTGATATAAGAAGAAACACATAAGCACATAGTATCGTTTAAAAATGTATACAGCATCTCTAAAGATCTTCATTCTTCCCCCTAATTTACACAACAAAAGCTAAGATCACTTCAGCCAGGCAACATCTCTCTAAAATTCAAGATGAATCAATTGCCAAAGGAATGTAAAACCCTCAAAATTTCCTATCAATGGCTTCCTTAAATTTGTTAAAAATCTCTCCCCTTCCAATATCTATTAAAACCTCCCAAAGGGGCTTTCTTTGCATCAATGAACAACCCCCAAAGCAAGGAACCTCCTTGTTTGCTTTCCCATCAATGAAAACAGCAGCTCTTTTTTCTATTCAAAGCTAAAATCAACATATTGACATCGAATCAATCACTCCAATAAATATGAAAAAAATTTTTGGGGCTGGTGGGCAAACCAGAGGGAGTCACATCATATGAGAAATCAAAAGTAAGTCTTTTTTCAAGCTGAAGGAAAATTGCAATATGGGTATTAAAGATTAAAGGCAAAAGGGCTAAAACTAAACTAAATTGATCAAAAAGAAGAATTTTACCTGAAAGCGGTATAGCTGTAGAACTCAACCTGGAAGCACATGAACAGAAGAGAAGCAGAGGAGAAAAGGGTCTGCCCAAACCGAAGAGCCAAGCTGGCGCTTGTTCCAAACGCCCCCGGCACTTGCTCCATCTTTGACACAATCTCGTATCACCTTTCCTCTTCATATCCGGAACCTCACCTCATAACGAGAATTCCCATCAACAGCCGATCCACAACAGAGGTATGAATGAGAGAAACGGAGCCTATAGGAAACCGAGAAGAGTTGGACTTTGCAATGGAGTAAATAGGAGTAAATGCAAGAGCTTTCTTCTCTTCTCCCTATTCAATGTTGGGGTTGAAAAGAAAAACGTTGCCGTCGGTCCTTGTCTTCGATTCTTTGTCCACAATGGACTGGATTCTGTAGCCCACGTTAGGTTGAAAAGTTGATCTAATATCAAACAAATTAATTTCTTTGTTCTAATGACCGCCGGGTCTCATTTGAGGGGGAAATATTTATTATTTTAAAATTTTTAATTATTAACAATTAATTTATATTAATTTTTTAATTATTATTTTTGTCAAAAAAAATTAATTTCTTTAAATGCTTAAAATGAATGAGAAAGATGTTTTAATTTTTAAATATTTTTTATATAATTTATTTTATTTTTTTTTTGAACAAGTTGTTAAGGGTGGGCTGAAAAAAAGAAGAATGCACCTTAAGCTAAGTAGGCTATAAGTTGATATGAAAGACCAAGTACTTTATGTAATTTAATTTAATATAATTAAAAATATATCAAATCAATTTAATTTTTGTTAATATACTACAATTAAATCAATCCAATTATTATTAGATTGGATATATTTAGATTAAATTGATCAATTTTATTTAAAAACAAATAATTATTTTAAAATTTGATTATATTATTCTTGTGAGTTTTACTTATATAAAAGTAAAAATAAAATTAAATAAATTTATAATAAATAAAAATATCAAATATCATATGGAAATATAATTTTAGGATTATGATGAATAAATAATGAGAATATACAAATTTACAAAAATTTAATTAATTTCTTAACTACCTAAATAGTTAAGTGATAATTTTTTTTATTGAAAATAAAAGATTCTAAATTCAAGTCACATAGATATTAGAATAAAACAAAGGATAAAAAAAAATTACCTCATGTTGTGCAATAAACCTAAAGAATTCTTTTAATATGAAATAAATTACAAATCAAATTAATTTAATTAATTTTAAATTTTTTTAACCAAATCGATTCAATTAAATAATAATTTAAATCAAAATTTAATTAAATTTAGTGAAATTAATCAAATTAGTTTAAATATAAACACTCTTATATCCTTTTGACTTGAGAAGAAATTATTATTAAAAAAAAAACTAATCGGCAAGGGCCGTGACACTGATTATAAATAAATAATAAAAGACAATAGTAATTCCCCGGTTTTTGCGCCATTAACTTTCAAAGTTGGAACATAATTCTTCATATCCCATTAATTAAAAATTAAATCACGATCAAGGACCTTAAAAATGCAGATTTTCAACTCGCTTTAATTTAAAAAAGGTGTTAGTTAAAGGTATAACCACAAAAATATTATTAATGAATCTTTATATATTATTTTTTTTTTTTGAACTCTAGATTAACGTCTTTCAAGCACGTGACAAATTATAAAAACATTTATTTGTTAGCATTATGGACCAGTTTTCCAGGCACCTCTTCAAAACCAAAATTTATGTTTGGATTGGAGGTTCACCTAATTAACAAGATTGGTAGTTAACTTTTTTCTCAACTAAACTATAATATTTTTAAGGGGTAAAATAATTAAATAATAATTTTTTTTGTAAAAAGATAAATTTTAAATTTGAATCATATGATATATACGTAAAATAAATTAAAAGATCTCTTATTATATAATCAAAATAAAAAATATAAAGTAAAATATTTGTAATTTGTGAAAAAAAAAAAGAAGATAAACTAATAATACATGATTTTATTATAGTCTAATTTGGTGTATATTATATTAGGATGGAATCAATGAACAGAACTTCCATTAGAATATAGACAAGAATATATAATTGCTGTGGTGTGTTCTTTATTCTCTATTTTACTGAATAATATTTGTGGTACGTTAAAAAGAAGAGTCATTTACCAACTAATGAATTTGAACCTGTCATTTGAGAATTTAGACAACTAGTATTTATTTTTCTAAAGGGTTTCACTTATTCTATTTGTAGGTCTAGACTTTACTTGCCCATCATCCAAATTCCAAATTCTTGGTTTGGAAGTTGTCCCCTGACTATTTAGTCATTTTATTCCAAATAAAAGATCATGTTTTATCAAGTTCAAAAAAAAAAAAAAAAATTCATGTTTTATCCTCGTATAGTTACGTGCACAACTATACTTTTGTGACGTGGGGATTCATAACTATGTACTTTCATGTATAGACCTCAGCATAATCATCAACCATTAGCTTTTCATGTATCAGCTCTTTAGTAAAGCTTACAGGAGTTTCAATTTTTTTATATTATTTATATT